ATATTGCAAGAAAATAGCACCGGCGTGCCTGGCAGCGTAGCCGTCTGTCGCCGGCGATATATACACCCCCGAGCCCTACTTTAAACCACGCTGTTACTAGACCACCTCTCTCTTGCCTCAATAATACTGAGCAAAAATCCCTCAACAGGAGCACACGGCAAGCTTGGCAATTCGGCAAACATCATGACGGCCGACAATGTTCACAACAAGCAAGCGCGACTACCTGCGAACGAATGTCGAGACTTGGAGAGAAGCTAGACGGTACGGTGAAGGAGAGGAAGCCTTTTCGTCAAAGGTTCAGCTGCTTGCCTCGGACGAAAGCTTCCATCCCTCAACCTGAACCGACGACAACACTAATAAAGAAAACAAAACGCTTCACGCGAGGCCTGTCATCGGCACAAGTCGCGCCATCGACACTCCACCTTCTGATCGTTCTGCTACGGTTATACCGTGTAGTTGACGTTGACATGTATGTCTCGACCTGTTTGGCTGCACCTTGGTTATTATCGAGCCTAGACAGATCGTATTGCGTCGTCTCTCGGAGTGCGAACTTGATGATGTGCAGTAGTACCGGGACAAGCAGAAGGTGGGGTACTGTAGTAGCCAGCTGCTGTATACCGTCCAAGGTCACAGCATCTCGACGCGCACCGGGAGCGACCGGGCGGTGGCAGCAGGAGCAGGCTTGAGCTTGTCCTTCTTCGTCGCGCGGCTCGTCGTGGCGCTGTCCTTCTTGTCGCCCTCCTCATGGCTGCCGTGGCCCTTGCTGCTCCTGGCACTAGCGGTGCTGCTGAGGCTGGCGGTGCTCGCCGTACTGCTGTAGCGCTCCAGGACAGTGCTGCGGCCGACGCCGTCACTCCGGCTCTTGGGGAGGAACTTGCCCGCCGGCAACAACGATGATCGCTTGGTGTTCGCCAAGAACAGGATGAGCGGCAGAGGTACGAGCCCGCAAAACGCGGCGAACGTGTACCTGATAACGACGGGCGTTCGTTACCGTGGGTGGACGTGAGGGGGTGCGACGGGGGTTGAACCGTCCGAAGGAGAGAAGATGTAGACTATATATTGCTGCTGCTGTGCCGGGAGATAGTAGAATTGGGAAAAAATTGGATGGCCCGCGGCATTGGCCACCACGCAGAGTGCGGAGCAAAATCGTGCCGAATTCAGGGAAGGAAGTCGAACGAGCTCGGTTTGTTTGTCGTGGTAGAGATGGCAATTATTTTCTGTTTTGAGGGGCTTGCGATGTCGGGGGCTGTGGAGAGCTCGACGCTACGAGAAGATGAGCAATTTCGTACTGATAAATAAAGCACAGACTGACAGACTCAGACCGACTGAAAAAGCGTACTGCAATAGTATTAATACTACCAAATCATGTGCGTTCCCCGCTACGTTGTCAATCCGACCTCAAGTGAAGCACAATTAAATTGAAGAAGACATGGGTCGTTGGTTGGACCTTGAGATGAGAAAACACATTCTCTGCTGGTTCACTCGATGATAGTCTTGTCGAAAACCACCATGACCGTTGGTAAAAACAAATTTCGTGTTGTTCTGCTTGTTTTTTTCTCTTCTTGATGATGAGTTTCCCTTGCCTTCACGTGATCTACACGCAGCAGCCGTTAGAACACGCGAGTGGCACCGACCACTGCTGCACACTAATTTTGCCGCTCGTTGATACATGACTCTTCCATCGCCCTCGATCCAGTAAAATCACTACCTGCAAAACTGCACCGGTCCTTCGACCCATCTCTAATGCTGCCGTTCTTCTCGCGGTACTTCGTTCCGTTGAAAGAGACGTTGACTGCTCACCCCTGGTCTACGCAGTCATCGGAGTAGTACGTGATGGCTATCTGGACGGCTCCCACATCGTGGTTGCTGTCGAGGCTGTCCTTGTGGGGCGACGCCTCCACCGGACGAAGAGATTTCCAAAGTGTGACCCTGGTGCCATCGCAGAACCACCGACAAACACCCGCGGAATCGAGTAGCAGAGGACACAACATCATCCGAAATAAGGGAGCAGGAAAAAGGGGGTGGGAAAAAAGGGTGAGAGAGGAAGTGTCGCATGAGACGAAATCCTCGGTTAGGAAACGCCGACACCGCGACGAAAACGCACCCACCCTGCTCAGTCCGAACGAACGGATCCGGGATTCCTCTGAAAACCTTTTCGGGCCATCGGGAGTGCGCACGCAGTGGTCATTGATTGAGTCAACCCGTAAGACTGCTGCGTGAACGACGATTTTGCAATTTACACGGTACGCGGATAACAAATACTAATAGATGAATTAATTCCGAAGCGACCGACCGACCGTGAGGACCCAGACCGAAGAAAAAAACAAAAAACAATTATTGGCATGCACCACAGCATCACGGTTGAAAGCTGAGTGGTGCAGCAGCCCCCCCCTCCTTCATAGACAAGAGAAAGAAGAAGTAAACGGGTGGTCCATAGGAACATCGAAGCACGCCTAAACCTCATAGCTACCGCGGTACCGGTGGTGCAAGACTCAACAAGACTCACGTTTCGTCAGGCCGGGACCTGAAGTCGCGAACGTCGATTACCCCGACCGAATGGCAGAAGCTCTCGCGCTGCGCTGTCGCCCTATCGGGGCATCGGAACAAGCAACGGGGGGCACGTGAATCACATTATTTCGGGAATGGGAAGAGGGTCCTTCAATGCTTCCTTCATTCGGGTCGGTCGGACGTTACTCTCACAAATCACAGCGAACCCAAAATTTCGTGACACCGCTGCACCCCGGTTCAGCGGCCGTAGCAGCAAGAAAACCGGGTCGCCCGCACATGGTGCGGCGTATTCAAGTGTTTTCAGCGAGCAACAGCAAGCATCGGTTCAATACTTGCGGAGACCCCGCGCTCCTCTACACACAACAGACACAACAACACCGCGGGCCGCATACACACGCACGCATCATGACTTGCACCGATGGAGAGTTGTTGTGCAAACAATATCCAGATGTATGTATGTGGAACTACTGTCATGTCGTCGAATATTGGATCGATCGCTAGAAAGAGTGCGCGGATTCTTGTGGGTTGAGCTAGGCAGCGTGCCGTATTCGCAAGCTCGCAGGGCAAATATGTTGTTCATCGAAGCACACGTCACGAAACCTACGTGACAGGCCAACGCAAGAGATCCGTAGGGTTTTGAGAACGGTCGATACACGCGACAGTAGCAGAAAATTCACTAGCCAGCACGAGATTCACGACGGCTTGGTTGGGTGTTCACGAGCTTGGTTGGGTGTTCACAATTTTTCTCCGTGCCATGTAGGTCGTTGTTATTGTTGTTCTTGTTTTCATTTGTTCTTGGCACGTTGACCAGGGTTAGTGTTTTGTTTCTCTCCCCCGCCTGGGGTTGTGTATGTCGTCAGGGGTTTGGGGCATGTCTTTCTTACAGGCATCGACCGTTCTACATAGATAGCCGGCCGACCAATGAAGAGGCGTCAGTCTCAGTTTGGCTGAAAACACAACATGCTTCAAACGGCCACGATCTGGGACCCTGTGGCCGAGGGTCGTGGGGGAGTCTACGCTACTCTCCGGATCAAAGACAGATGCTGTAGCGTGCGCAATAACAGAAGAAAACTGCACGTGTTTACCATGGCCGCTACTACAACTACTGCTGTATTTGGACGCGCGTTCGTTTTGGATTGATATTGCGTGCACTAGCCCGGAAAACAAAATTATTTCTCTTGCAGTTTGTGTAGCCGGCTCTGGTTTTCTGATACGATGGTTTCATCGTGTTTCCCTGCATTTGCTACCGCCACTACTCTCGTCGCCAATATTAATATTCTCTACATGTGTATGTATGTTCGTGTGTGCGCGGGTAGCTTGTTGTATTCTTCCATCCACCGCGTTAGTCGGCCGTCCGACGAAAATACGTCAGGGACCGTGCGTCCAACGCTGCCACAGGCCATGATACAGGGTCTACTGGGTGAGGGGGAGGCTACATGGACTACTTCCCGGATTTAAGAACTATCTGAGGGCGGCACATAACAAATAAATGTAAAAAATGCACACGCTACATACCGAGGTTATTATTTTCTTGGCACTACTATAAGTACTTGCATGCGTGGTGTTCTTGGCACCTTCCCACTAGACTTGCATTACTCTCCCCCACCGCAAACCCTTCTATAATATATTTTTGGTTGGGTAGTAGGTTCTCTGTGCCTCTGGCGTACATTTGTTCGAAGTCTCTTCCACCACAGCATCTCCTCCTCCTTATTTTTCTTTTCGGCTACGGCTGTGCGTGTGTGTGCGTGTCGGCTCTTCTTTTAATATATTCATCTGGACATCGGTGTTTTGTACCTTTGGGTGCGTTTTCTAGGCGCCTCATCAAGCAGGGTCACGGCGCACACTGCCAGACAGAAGTCAGAGGAACAAGGCGACGCAGACGGCGGTGACTTCTTGTATTGCCCCACCTACTCTGTACGGCAACGATCCTTCGAGAGGGATTGGGATGTTGTTGTTTCTTTCCTCGTAGACCATGAAGTCGAAGTATGCACATCATATTTCGTCGTGTTGTGCATACGTACGAACATTCGCTTTTGACATGATAGGGCATGTTGTTGTGAGAAAAATAAACATCTGGGCGTGCATCAAGGTGCGAGAAACAATCCCAGATCTTGCGTGGTACGCCAGCAATTGCTCGGGTGTTCACGCAAAGGCGACTCGCTTGCTTCAAGGTAGTTTTAGTCCAGAGGGCATTGGTCCCTCCTACTACAGGCGTGTACTCGTTACAGAGCGAGAGCATGCAACGTTAGTATTGCGCGTCGTTGAAATATGAGACCGCAACGATCAGCTGCGCGTCATAGATGTAGAACCAACTTGTGAGAGGCGGCCTGTCTTTGTGCGGATTTACGTTGGATATTGATCAAACAACAGAGGTGCCACCGTAGCACCAACTCACGTTGGTGCCAGCGCGAAAACCAGGGCGATTTGGACCGTGTCTTGGCCCGCCCTGTCCTCAACCTCTACTTCCTCCGGCCAGAGTGGCATTGGGGCGGTGGCAGCGGTGGGAACGGGGGTGGTGGTGGTGGTCGCTGAGGTTGCAGCCGGACAACGCATTCCGGCAGCGGTGACGCGCTCTAGATCATCTTCAGGGGCGGGGTGCTCTTCTTCCTGAGTTTGCTGCTGAGACAATGGGCACACACACACACACACACACACACGCACGCACATGGAACCAGGCAAGGGGTCTTCGTTATACGTCAGCGGGGTGCGGTCGCTCTTGATCACAGACCTTCACGCGTATTTACGTTTGTTCGTCCGATAGTACAACAATCAATGCACTTGCATGCACACTGCGCTGTATGATTCATTTCTTTCTCCTTTGCAACCGGGCCGTTCTTCTTCGGCGCCGCCGCTACATGTGGCATGTACTGCTGTCGACTAACAGGTCCTGTTCCCACTAGCTAGCTTGTTGTTCTGTGAGCGAAACATTCGCAACGCGCATTCGATGAGAAAAGACACGGATCACCGGCGACATTTTAAGACGCTAACGCGGATCGATGTGCATCCAAACTTGCAAGCAAAACAACGCTCCCTCATGAACGTGGCGTGCAACGTGCGGCAGCAACAAGAAGACTTGATTCAAAATCCGATCTTCTTTCTCAATTCCAACTACCGGTACAAGAACAGCGGAGACAAAGCAGAGATAGCGCACCTTATTGCTGCCCTCCTGCTGCTGCTGCTGCCGCTGCTGCGAGCAAGTGTCCAAGTCGACGAAGCTTGTGCTTCGCCCGCCCTGTGTATGAATCGACCAGGTCGCCTTCCGCGTATAACAACACTCTTCTTCATTGGCCGGGGCATGCGGCACGTTGCGAACGGCTAGAAAGCGCAAGCTCAACATGAGGCAGGCGTGAATGAAACACACCTGCTGTACACAATCGGCCGTTTATCCAGTCCGTGGAGCAAATTATTGTCCGTCGTTCGCGCTCTAAGTGGAGGGACCTGCAGCCAGCAGTATTGTACACGAAAGTGATTCACTCTCGCGCTTGTGCGACGACACCTGCTCGTCGTCTCTTGTCACTACGTACGGTGTGTTGGCCGTCATCCTGCGTGCGCCCGCACACGTGCGTGGTGTAGGCTAGGTTGGTTGGGGGTGCTGCGGGAAAATGGTTGCGTTTTCTGCTGCGTCATGGTTGTGCGTCTATCCCTCCCATGGTCCGCTGTGCATTGTTGTGCATTTGTTATGCGTTGTTTTTTTACCAGAACTGCACTTTTTTAGACGTTGTGTACAACCCCGATTTATATATATATTAACCGTGACCGCTTCCCAATTCTATATTTTTACGGGACGACGGACCAACCGCTTGTGAATCTGCCAATTATCCACCGGTGGACTGGTGGTACTCCACACAAACCAATCATTCAGCGTTCACAACGATGGAGTTGGACAGGGAACACACACTATTATTATACATTCATGAGCATGACGACACGGACCCCAAACGCCCTTGAAATGTTGGAAACGCTATGTACACAAACACACAAATGTCAAGAGCAAAAAAGAAAAATATAAGTTGGCGTTGGCATTGTGACATTGTGACAGTGTCGCGTTGCCACTCACCCCTAGCACCTGTTGTGGCATAGCAGGTGGAGAGGGGAGAGCAAGAGAGAGAGGGGTAGAGAGAGAGAGAGAGAGAGAGAGAGAGGGGGGGGGAGAGAGGAGAGAGAAAGAGAGAGAGAGAGAGAGAGAGAGAGAGAGAGAGTCGGCGCAGGATACGAATGATGGCGACTTTTTGTGCAGGAAGACGCGCGCAGTGGTCTCTTGAAGGGAGGACGGCTTTGGTCACAGGCGGAACGAAGGTTGGTGCTGGAAAAAATCAGATAGAAACGAAGTTGTGATGAAGAGTTCGTGCGACTCTTTACAGACTGCAGCAGTACAATAGCTGTGGTAGCACGGAGCACGTGCGCGGTTGAACGCACAGCAGCTGGCGAATGACCAACCTGCAGTTGATCGCGAAAACAATGTCTCTTGCTTGAGCGACTACTTCAACCTGCATGCAGTTTTTTTGTGCCCTTGTGCACCCAGACTACATATACAGCAGTGAGTACCTTTTTTTCCTGTTTTTCTCCCAGTCAAAGCGTGGCAGGTGAGGCACGTTTTTTCTGCAGGGCAGGACTGCTGTACAGCAGTACAACATCAGTTGACTGCTGTACGTACATACCTGTACGCATACCTCTCCGCGTCGAATCTATTGGCGCCTTTGTCGTCGTCTTTCTCTGGTTGCAGCAACCTTGTAGTCTACTGCTGTAGAACAGCCTTCTGGTGAGCCTGTTGTCTATTCTTCCCACCTCTCGGCTTGATCTCGGTGCCCTCCCTTCTCCCTGCAGACAACATTCGCTCTAGTGGAGTACTATCCACTGCACACTGACGCTTTGAAACAACGGATGTTCTTGACTGCTGGTGTGTGAGTCACGAGCCAACCCCGCGGGAGACACAGCAACAGCAGCAGCCGTAGCAGTAGCAGCCCCACTCTTCAAGCTACGATGTACATGATGCTACGCTGAGAGCTGAAGCTTTACGTATCGTAGCTACTGTAGTTCGGCGTACAGATGTCTGAAAGAAGCTGCATGTCGAAATTGATAGACGTGTACTACTGCTCTTCGTGCCATTTTTGGTGCTCGGCGCGGCCATGTTTGACGCGGGTAGACCCGCGTGCAGCCCGGCTGGCTTTTCTATGTAAAACAGTCAGAATGCTGGCCAGAGAACGACTTGAAATTATCCATAGAACCATGTTTTCGTCCACAGCAAAGGCACGCACCTTCTCAAAGCCAAAGACGGGCCACATTTTACCTTGTCTCCGGCGTGCCGATTTCAAGGCAGTGACTGTCAGCGTCATGATGTCTACAAAGTCCCGTGGAGAAAGGAGCGTTTTTCTCGAGCATATGCGTAGGACCGTTCAAACCTAGTGGCGACCTGGGGATAAGGGGAGAGGACACAGCAGTTCACAACGTCTTTCATGGGAAAGAGCAACAACTCCGACTTCAGTATCCATGAAATGAACGCGCGATATCCTGGCCAGAACATGCTGGCCAGAACAACCACTTTGGAAATTGAATCGTCCGTTCGTCCAGCAAACGCACAACGCCCTTTCCACAGCTAAAAACATTTTTCCATATTACAACGCAGGAACCGAAGTATCATGATGCCTCAAGATCTGGTGAAAAGAGGCCCGTTTACACGACCATGCGCATAAATGGGAGGATCAGTCAAACCCAGTGCTGAGTTCAGGATGAGGGCATGCAACTCACGACGTGTTGCATGACAGTAACAAAAGTTTCCGACTTTCGTATAATATGCATGTGAACGCACAGAAGCTTGACCAGATGGTGCTTTCGACCAGCAAACGCACGCAACCCTCTCGCCGGCCAAGGTGCGATGAATATGGGTGTTGTTTGCTCGCAAACAAAGAGATGGCGACCGATGCATCACCACACCTCAAAGTCCGGTCATGTTCGCGAGTTTGTGGGTCTCGGGATAGTTGGGGCGAGAGCGGAGAGCAAGCAGCTTCAAGCCCTGAAATATCCCTCACAGGCTTCTGCTCGAACGAACCTCGCCACTGAGCACTTTGTTCCCCGAAATCGTCATCTGATATCAACTGTCCGGCATTGGAAATCTAGATTCTCACAGCAGGCGGCCTCTCTCCAACCGTGTTTTCTGTCCGCGAGGATTCGTCGCCACCGTCTTCACGTACATTACCAATCCATGGATACTACCAAATTTCCATTGAACGATCCTATGGAAATGCTCAAGAAACGTGTCTCTTCTTCACCGGATATTGAGTAATCCTGATGCTGGTCACTGCCTTACTGTTGGCACGCGCAAATGCGGCGCTTCTTTGACGTGGCGAGGGTGTTCGCGTTTGCTGGGCCAGAAAGAGAATCAAAGATTCTTCTTTTTTGGGGTTAAGTATGTCCCCGCGGAATTCCAACAATTGGCCTGAAGGTTCTTATTGGAAGTATAGTACAGGTAGCGCCCGCGGGAAAGAAACGTCAGAATCGGGTCGAGCCTCAATCCCGTATTTTGGATCGAAGGACGAGCCGAAGCCGCCCATTTTCTTGATTGGCTTTGGACTGTCGCATCCTCCTGATTCTCTTGTTTCTTACAAGTACTGTTTTCTTTTTTCTGCCTTTTGATCTCTGAAGACAACCCACTTTACCTCAAGCCCTCAAGAGAGGCGGTGGAGAGCGCCATCAAACCTGTACAGCGGACAGCAAGTCGTTGCCCGCGATGTGTGGCTGTACTACAGTACAGCGCCGTGAGCAGTAGGCAGTAAGGTCGCGGGGGGCGCCGCGAACATAACCACTTTCCCCCCTACAAAAAAATACACTGTTCAGCAAGGTAGGTAGGGGGGTGGAAGCACCGAAGGAGAAACGTTTCTTACTGGACACGCTCCCTCAGCTACCCCTAGTTTCTTATGTGTCGGGGGTACCGCACCATCGTGTTTCTTATTTGGACGTTTCTTATGTTGTGGCCGAGATTGAGCTGTGTTTCTTAGCCCTTTTTTTCTTGTTCTTCGTAAAAGCTTGAGCCTCTTTTTCTTATGAGAATTTTACGTGACTGGGTTGATTTAACTTTTTCTTTTGGGAAAACGACACAACAGGGTATACCCTGCTCGAAAAGCGACTCACTTGGGTACACAGTCATATAAACAGCAGTAAATGCACTCATATGATTGGTCAGTGCCCACTTTCACCCCGCTGCGTCAGAAAAAGCGCGGGGTATACCCTGCCGTGGCTACTGTTGTTGTTGTTGTTGTTGTTGTTGTTGTTGTTGTTGCTGTCTTCACATCAAAAACCGTTCCGATCTCTCTCTACCCAGTACCTTCATATGTCCGTGCTGATCCAACAGTTGACACGGGCGATTCCCGTGGTCATAGGCTAACTTACCCTAAAGAGGTGCGCTCAAACAAACTGGCCCCGAGGGGTCCGCAAGTCAATAGAAATCAACGACAAATATTCTGGAGTCCTCTGCTCCCTCTGCGCGCTATGCGAGGTAACAACTGAGACTAGGAGTCAGCATCACGGGCCAGAGAGAAAGAGGTACACCCCCTCGGTTCAATCTTGGTGCTTCACACGCAAGCAGAGACAAGGCCATCTGACACAGAACAAGAGAGAAAAAAGAGCGACAAAGAGAAAAAAGAGATTCCACACTGCGAATGCATGTTCCCGCCCAAAAACAACCTTGGCAACGGGGTAGGAATCAGGTTCCTCGTTTGTTTCTGCCCATGGGAAACATCACAAACCATCATCTCTTCCAGCTATAAATCAACAATGGCCGGGCGAAACGCCAGCACAGTTGTTCCGTTTGGAAATATATACACACATAACTGACTCTGCAAGAAAAGCTCGCGTACGCCGGGATTCGAACCCCTGACCTGACCCGTAGAAGGTTCCGAGGATACCAACTAGACCACAGGGGCGACCTTGTGGAAATATGAACACACGCGTACAATACCCCGTGGACTACTGCTTGCTGCAGTCTATATGCGAGATGTTGCGAGATGTAAGGGTCACGCTAGGAAGGCGAGACCGATCCAGCATGGTTGACATGCATGCATGTGCCAATGTGTGGCGCTGTGCTGGCGGCGAGCTCGCGCCCACAGAGCGGACGGTGGGGAGAGGCAAGACCAGCACACACACACACGCCCTTGAGATGCACTCGCACATACGAGTCTTATCCTTACTCCAGCAGCTGGACACTGCTTTGTCGTCCAAGTCCTTCGCCCTCCCTGTCGGTAGAGAGAAGAGTGCTCGCGTTGTGCTTCATCGGTTGATCCCGCTGAAGCCTGACGCCTTCTGACTACATTGGTTGGCTTGGTCGGCTAGTAAGCGCGACCGAGACACACACGACAACTGAGACACAACAGACAACACACGCACACCACACACGAACGCACACATGGCACAGGCAGGAGGGAGTGGCGGCGTTGTTCCGCACGGGCGGAAACTGATTCCTGCCCCGTTGCCATGGTTGTTTTTGGGCAGGAACATTCATTCGCAGTGTGGTATCCCATGGTTGGAGGGAAAAGGGCTTGGGAAGATTCTACGGAGGAAATGATTGATGAAAAGGATTTGATTTCCCGTCAGGTCAGGGTACACATTTCCAAAAACAGGGTACAGTTTTGAGAAAAGTAGCCACGGCAGGGTATACCCCGCGCTTTTTCTGACGCAGCGGGGTGAACGTGGGCGCTGACCAATCATATGAGTGCATTTACTGCTGTTATTGACTGTGTACCCAGGTGAGTCGCTCTTCGACCAGGGTATACCCCGTTGTGTCGTTTTCCCTATTGTTTTCCGGCTCACTCAGCAAATCGACCCCACGATATCACTATCGCAAGAAATGATAAAAACACGGCAAATTATACGATTCCGTACTAAAGATAGAGAGGGGTTATCGTGCATGCAATCCCGAAAGCCCTTTCTCTCGAGCGAAAATTGCACATAGCACACGAACCTCCTTTCACTGCCAACATTCTGGACCACACACACCGCGGTCATGACCACATCAAGCACCGAGGTAGTACGTTACCATCGGCTCCGAAGTGCGTTATCTCTGCTCTCCATCGCGCAAGCGAGACCCCGGGTTGACCACATGTTGAGGGTGCTCTATGTACCCTCCCGTGGTATTTCCGTTTGGATCTTACAGCAGTAGGCAGTAGGTTGGATCTGGAAAGAAAGGACATATCTGCCCCACATCAGAGACAATACTGCCGTACAAATGGTAGAACTACGTGTACCCCTGCGCACACGCTGCTCATATGCGTGCTTGTGTGTTGGGCTGCCTCTTGGTCTCTCTGCTGGCCTTCACGGTGCATATTTTTTTCTCTTAGGCGAGGCACGCCAGCGATCTGTCGGCGCACATAGTTATCGTGCTGCTATCGTGCATGTAGTCACACGGGCGCTATCTGTATGTAGCTTTTCTTGAGTGATTTCGAAAACGACCGAAGGAGGAGCACACAACATGCACGATGCATAAGAAAAGTCGGGAACTGCTCCACAATAAACCATTTCTTTCTCGGTTGTCGCACAGTGCAGCTGTTGGGGCTCGTCTCCACCAAGTGTAAGTATCATGCAGCCTACCTCCTCCCCGTACCTTCTCTCAAAACAAGATATAGAATCTACAACTCTAATTCACGACAAAATAGGCAACGCGATGGCTGCTTCAACAGGCTATGCGCGTCGTAACGGTACCGATCTTAAAGGTTGTCACCTGACGGGCCTGAGTTTCTACTGTGGTTAACGAAGATGTGACGAAAATTGTGTGGAGCAACTTTCTCTATTATCTACGACGGAATATACAAAGCCACCAGATCTACGAACCAGCACGGAAGCAACGCAAAACCCAAGTCGCGCATCGTCACAGACTGGCGGGGTGGGTCCATGAAACAGACCTTGCGAATTACTTCTGTTGTAGGGTTTGTTCACCGACGACGAACGCTGGAGACCTGTGCTCGGGGCGCGTTCAGTAAACAAACACAGACGTGCAACATACGTGCCAAAACCCGGCATCAGTCTAGACCAACTATTACTACTCGTTGTATAACGACACGCAGCAGCATCGATCGAGATGTATTTGTCGGCCCCTCTGCGTCCGTTGCTGGTGAATGAGACAGCAGCAGATCGATGTAATAAATAGCGGTTGTTTGCTGTGCGTGTGATAGTACACTTCCAATACTTGGGGGACAGGTAGCAGACAGAGTAGAGAGGTTCCGAAGGCTATTCATAGATAGAGTGTGACACGAGCTAACGGCACACCTGCTCACAGTCGATCGATGGCGGTGCGGTAGACGCGTCATCAGGCGCACGAGGAGGTACAAAAGGCCGTCTTCTTGTGGGTCTACCCTACCCAAGGGCTATAGTCGGAGCGAACGACTGTCGTGCAGATAAATCACATATTGTGCGTTTTCATGTGTATCTGTATGATGTATGTACAAGTATGTGCGAATGTATTTACATGCATGTAATCATTAGCATCGACCGTGCAAACCGGCTGACGTATGTACGTATGTGTGTAGGCTTCTTTTTAGTTCGTTGAGGTTCGCTCTGAGCTCCTCGTGTAAAACCCCGCCGTCAGCAGTGGAGGAGCCGTTGAGCGTGCGGGAAGCGGAAAAAAAACACAGCTGTGGGTTTGATCCTGCAGCACGCTTTCAGGAGTAAATTACGCCCAATCGACGGAAGCAGTGTGATTCTATCCCACGTCGCGTGTTGGTGATTTTCTTCCTGCTCACCATGCACGTTCTGTGCAGGGAATCGGTAAAGCTATCGTGGAGGAGCTGGCTTGCCTTGGCGCGAAGGTGCTGACGTGCTCCAGGACCGAGGATGGCGTAATAGCCTGCATTACGGTACGCCCATTTGTCATGCGATATGCTACTCCATCCTTGCTTTCTCTCTCGCTTGCTCTCTCTCTCCGTCTGTCTGTGTGTGTTTGCCTGCCTCTCTTTCTGTCTCTCTCTTTCTGTCTCTCTGTTTCTCTCTCTCTGCCTGTCTTTCTGTTTGTCTCCCCATCTCTCTCTGGTACATAGCTTACTATTGTTTTTCAAGGCTGATCGCGTTTGCCACTGGCTGTAGCTTGTGCCCACCGTTACACAAGATATAGCGACAATGCGCCAACCATGTCTTGACCTCGTAGGCCATTCTTGTAGCCTGTTTCAAGGTGCCTACATAACTCTCGTCTAGATTTTGTGGCACTTTTTGCGGCAGTCGATACAGTGGAAGACACGGGCGTGGGTGAGAGGGAGGGTACACTTACGCCTCTGGACTACGTACACCACCTATTTCTTTGCCTTCACCTTCACCTTTCCTCTCACACAAGAGGAGAGGCCTCACCTGATAGGTACCCGGAGTTTCCAACAACGCCGTGCAAAACGTTCCGCGTTCGGCCTTGTCACCCGGTGCCCCAATCATGCCCCAATGCCCAATGTTGCACACACAACCCTCAAAAAGACGAGACAGGCGAAGTCCATGTAAGCTCTGTTTGAGAGAGCAACCGCAGCCGCACACGGCAGAACGGTTTTCGAGAGGGTCGCCTCTGCGTTGTCCTGAGTGACCTTCTTCTTTTCACGAGCGTTTGCCGTTGTTTTGTGCTTGTGGTTGCAACAGGAGTGGAGAGCGAAGGGGTTGGAAGTTCACGGTATCGCGGTGGATGTGACAACGGCGGAAGGGCGGCAGGAGTTGTTCAGTGCGGTGGGTTCGTGTTTGTGTGTGTGTCAAAGTCATCATCCCATATTTTTTTCGGCCTTGACACTGTTCGGTAAGCTCTAGGGCAAACCAGTCGGAGGAAGGCCACGCAGGAGTTCTTTATCTCCTCCTTCCCACCGTGGTGCATTGCTTTGGCCGGGCTTCCTTGCCTTTACGGACACCGCATCCTCGCCTGGCCTATATGAGAGCTTGGAGTGCAAAGTAGGCTTGTTTGATACTCAAGTTAACATCCATCTACTGTACGCGTGTGCATGTGAAAGCAAACGGGCCCCGAATAACGTTATTTAAGCACCTCCGGAGAGAGCATCTACTTACGTTTATTTTCTTTCTCTCTCTCTCTCCTTGTCTCTTGCCGTTAAGGCAGAAGAACACTTCGACGGTGCTCTGGACATCCTCGTCAATAACGTCGGGAGGAGCATTCGCAAGAGCAGCACCTTCGACTTCACGCCGGAAGAGTTCGAGACCATCATCAACACCAACTTCAGCACGGTCTTGTCGCTGACAAAGGCGAGGCTTTTCGTGTTTTCCCTCGTGTGTCTAGGCAGATTTGCTTCGTTGATACCTTGCTCGGTCTTTGCCAGTTGTAGGACTCGAACAACCGCAACCGCTTCTGTCTCTCCCATCACGGTTGTTTCGTGACCTCGTGCTTCTGTCTGGTGTCTTGCAGCTCTTTCATCCTTTGCTGAAGGCGGCGGCAGCGGCCGAGGGAGCGCGGGACAAAGGAGGATCGTCCGTGGTAAACATCTCCAGCATCGCCGGCGTCACCGCGGTCAAGACAGGTACTGCAAACTATAAAATAACCTTGCCGTGTCTGTTGAGCTATGCATGATATCGTGTGCGTCTTTGTCTTAGTGAGGTCGTTCTCTTGGCACGCCCGCTTTGGCGATGGCGTTACGGTAGCCCTTGGGAGAGAATCGTGTGCCACAGGTGATGCATGTTGCGAGGACTCTCTCTTGCGTTCGGCGCTCATCCTGGCCTACCATTTTAATTTTCGCCGATTTGGCAGGCGCAGCCTACGCTGCAAGCAAGGCTGCGATAAACCGGTTAACGATCAACTGGGGGTGCGAGTGGGCTAAGGACGGGATCAGAGTCAACGCCGTTGCCCCAGGGGCAACAAACACGCCTTCCACGGAGTCGGTACCCAGGTGATACCCTCTTAACATACACAACAAACCCATCTCTATGCATAGATAAAGGTCTAGGATAACTTAGCGACGAGTTCGTATCGTTAACGGAGCACTGCCTGTGTTTATACTTTTCCGGAAGCAGCGTACAGCGATATCTCCCCTGTGGGTTTTGCATTTTTTTGTGCTCCCTCATTTCGTCGGCATCTGAATAAAGCTCTTGGGAGACACGGGTATGTGAAAAGAGTGCGCGCGAGCAGACTTGGTTTGCTCCGCCTTTTAGCGTACGGTCCCTACCGCCGCGGTCGGAGCAGCTGCTGCCGCCTTTGCCGCGGCTGGCTGCGTGTTCATCCATCATCGTCCGCGCGGTCGCATGACGCGCGAGCAAGGTACACTTTGATCGAGCAATCTGCTTGAGCCCACCCACAAAAGATTCCCTAATAAAATCCCACATCGTTATCCCCTTCTCTTGTTCTCCTTTGAACGTAGGTTCATAGGTAGCGATATTTGCTGTTTTTCCTTCAACGACAAAATATGGTATTTGCCGTGGAGGAACTCATGCCCATCCGTCGAGGCCCTGTTGGTTTCGTGTGACCTTTACGCTTTGGTCCAGTTCGCGTATCGACAGTTTCATTGTTTTGTGGAGAAGGCCCACGGGACTTGGCCGTGGACTTGAATTTCCCGGACGATCTGTTGCTGGACACCTACTCTTGATGGAAATACACGCTTCTTTCATCTTCAGCCATTTGATGACACTCTCTATTCTCGCCTGCGCAATTTCACCTTCACGCCAACGGTAACCCCTCGCCGCAACCTCGGCTTACCCTTTCTCTCACGTTGTTCCTAACGCTTAGGAGTACGGAGCTTATGGACCGGATTCCTATGGGTCGATGGGCTGATCCCCACGAAATCAGTGGCCAGGTCGCTTTCCTCTGCATGAAGGGCGCGAGCTACATCACTTCTCAGGTCATCTGTGTCGACGGCGGCTGGGCGAGCAACGGATGGATGTGAAAATCGATCGGCGGCTGCCGGAGTCCGCCTTCTTCTTTTCCGCCGTGCGATCCTAGAGATAGTGGTGGAATAGTGTATGGCAGAATACGAGAATCCGCCGTTCGTATGTATCTACCTGCCGTTTGGTCTTGACCCTCAACTGAGGAACCACAACGCGGGGTTACGCTGAATCTTTGCTCCTCTGCGTTGTGTTGCGAAAAGGGCTCAACAACAAATCAATCCTCTACCTGTTGAATCAACGATCAGGGCGAGCACCCATCGTGTACACACGAACGAGCAAGCACTCAACCAACAAATTTGGTACGACAATTGTGTCACCCGCAACTTTGATGATTGGAGAAGGTTGGTTTTCCGAGAACGTCTACTAGTGGCTGTTCGCCGCTTGCGATCCCCCACCCGTGTCCACGCTCCCCTCCCAACCCTGCCAAGAAAAGCTCGGCGTTTCTTACTATGAGAGACAGGCGGATATGGCTCACATTGGCAACGCAGCTTGCCTCGGGCAACCGTCACTGGCTCTCTAAGAGAAATCTCGTTTAGCATTTTTTAGGTGGTGTGTCATCGTCATGATACGGGACGGTGCGTAACGAGGACGAGTTTATCATGCATGCGGTAAGCAAAGACAGACACTCATTACGTAGAGAGCACAGGCGAGAAAGAATCACACACAACCGATAATCCTTGCGTGCAAAAGAAAAGAACGGTGCTTTGGGAGATAGGCGGTTAAGGGTTACGTCCTAGTCAATTACACCACACCGCAACAAAGGGGGTGAATGTAGATGACACGAATGCAACCACGGGCCATGAGCCTTCCGCGCTTCGCACGTCAAGAGAGTGAAATGGTTTTAAATAGGATGTTTGGGACAACCAACAACGACCTCAACAGGCCCAGTAATCTTCCACATTGTAACGAGATTGTAATCGAGCGTGCAGAGGTTAGCCACAACACTGTCCCACTCGGAGGGACCGTCTACGCAGATGCTCTGGAAAACTTGAAACAAACTCCACGAATTAGGAATCGGGACTCCCACAAATGTCCGCAATCATCCCCCGCACCTCGTGATAGATGATCAAAATGGCCATTGCATATACATGCTAAGAACTAAACATAGGCAAGAACCAACCAACCAGAAAACAAAAAGCCAGATGACTCCAACCCACCTCCGCATAAGCCCTGAAAACCCAAGCGGAGAATGACAGAAAACCTCCGTAACGGGTGGGATGGAAAGTTATTCCGTCCATCGCTCGACACTACACGCTGATAGAACTAAGACCCAGGGAAGCAACACAGAGGATCATGCTAGCCACAAGCCCGGGAGCAAAAAATAACGGCAAACACAAACGTCACCGCCTCCGGGATCTTCCAGCGCGCGCGCCTGAATAACCGAAACCCAACAACCCCCTAAAAACAAAAGCAAAAGCTACGAACCGAAATGCGCTGACCAACCTACAAACGTTCACCGTCCAACTCGCTAGACAGAATAACCCGCCGTAGTGCAAACAAAACAGAGGGTCGGACAGGCGCCGGAGGCCTGATAAGAAATCGAGTCGAAACAGAAGAGTCCCCGGGCGCCGCAGCTCCGCGGGAAGTCTCGGTGTTGTGAACGTACAGTACATACTACGACGTATCCTAACCCACCTTTCTTTTCAAAGAAGGGCCCTGACCTTGAGACCCTACACGAATAAAAGAAGTCCCACTCGACTGATGCGGGTGCACAACATCGACTCAACCCGGTCGCTAATCCCCCACAACACCCCGCAAGGGACGAGCAATGAGCCAAGTCCCTCCAGCCCTTTGCCACATGTCCTCCAAGATGGCGCTGAAAGTGGTACGTTCCTCGGGTTCCCCACCCCAGCAGGCCTTGGCGATGTCCACGATGTCGGCTGGAGTGGCTGTGTGGAACAATGACCGTTTCCCCCTCAGAACCGCAGACAATATCTCGCGAGGACGCGTCTTGTTCGCCCACGGTAGCTTCCTTGAGAACACCTCCCAGACCACGATCCCGAAGCTGTAGACGTCGCTCGCAAAGGAGCTGCCTTCTTCTTCTAGCATCTGCAGATGTACGGTGCCATCCCCTAGTTGGCACCAGCGCGGGGTTGGAACCAAAGAAGACCAAAATTGCCTTCAGGGCCTAACTGCCAACTTTGTAAGAGCTACTGGCTACCGTAGGTGCAACCCACGACCTCAAGTAATTTTGCGTTGAATTTCTATCGTAGAACCGCGCAAAGACGTACAAGAGCCTCACAACGGCAAGTTCTGTCGGCCATAACCACCGTTAAACTGCAACGATAGGCGGTTTGACCCAACTCGACTAGAAGCGCACAAACTTCGTACCTCCGGGGCGCTCCAGGCGAGGCTCATCTAGGTGCTCCGGCTGGACTTGGTGGCGTATTCTGCCAGGCCCGTGGAATTATTATGCTGCGACCACCCTGGACGTCACAAAATCCCCGATCTGCAACCAACAAGCGGAGCATCTGCGCGTTCCAGTTTTGCCAACACCAAGACACAGCAAAGACTGACCGCGGTGCGCGTCTACCAAAATCCTAAACGGGCAGTATGGCATGGGTTTTGCGACGAACGTACCAAAAGCGTTTGGCGGGGTATGGAAGTCCGTACCGAGCTCACCGGAGCATTCCGTGATCTATTTCATCGGCAATGCCGATACCCAGGTGTTTTATGGACGCTGCAGATACACAGCAGTTCATATCTTGCCGAGATATCGGAGGAAGCGACGTGTTGTACCGGTACGCCTCGACGCCAACCATACACGGAAAATCTCGTGAACTCGCATTTTCAAATGATGTGGGCAAGCAGGACAAAGATATCGCGAAAGTTCCCGCGGATGTCAGAAGCACATCGCCATCTGTACGGCACAGCGGATGCAGAACAAAACTTATTCAACAAATCAACCCAAGATCGACGAGAGTCGCCTTGGCCCTGCCGCTGCCATCCAAAAATACATTGGCCGACTTAAGATCGCCGTGGACGGTTTTCCTGCTTTGCAGGAAGGCCATGCCGGTGCAGATATCTCGGACAATACGCCTGGATTGCTCCTCGGGGAGAGGCTCCTGAGAACTCGTGAGTATCGTTTGGAGATCCCCGCCTGGCATCAGCTCCATTACGAGCACCACGCGGTCTGGCAGAGACGTCACTGCTCCGTAGACGTTGACAGTGTTAGGGCTGCGAAGGCGGATCATGGCTTCCAGCTCCCGCAAAAACGCTCTACGCTGACTCGTCTCCCGCTGCTGCTGATTCTCGTCGAAAGCGCCCAGGTCGTGGGTGATGCGTAACACCTGTGTTGGGTTTCAACGCGGCAGCCCCCAACAACGGCAAATTTCATGTGAGCGACTTGGTGGGCTCAAACTCCCTCACCAAAACACCCAATGATGAAAATGATATGTGGAGTCCAGCCGCGGGGCGACGATTTTAGCGTTAAACCCATCATCTTGCCACGAAAACAAGCTATATACATCAAAATATTGAAGACGAACAAGATTAGCGGCGAGGTGGCGAGGCCCCAGTGACTCTCGCTGATCGCGTTGGAACGGGCATCTACTCTATCCGGCACACGCCGATGGTCCATCTCACTTGCCGAGGAAGGTGGGTCGTCGCAAAGCGAGTCAAAGTCGATCAAATCCGTGTGTTCTACATTTGCAAAGACGGCACATGGAGGATCTTCGTTTCGTCGTGCACGCTGAGCATTTCGAGGACATCATCATTGTGTTCTAGACAGGGACGACTCATTGACGGTCTTTGTCGCACCGTGCATGCAAAATATTAGGAGGACACCGTGACTGTTGACGCCCAGGCGTTCCGCCCACGGGCGTTACTGGCACGACTGCTTGATGTATTCGAGAGAGCGTGTATCTTATCGCAAACCTTCGCCGCCGCGTTGTGGCCATTGTAGTCGGCCAGGTACACCTCTCCGAAGCCCCCCTTTCCCAACTCATCGTTCGTGATGAACAAGTGCTCCTCAGGAATCTCGACTTGGTCGAACTTGCGCTGCCGCCTGATCCTACGAGCCTCCGCCACGGACTCCGATATGGTCCCCGCGGTGGATCCCTGGAGAAATAAAGAAGCACCAAACCCAGCCGCACAGCGCCACTCAAGTGTAAATTGAAGGAGGCCTCACGGCCAAGCGTAAAAATACGCAAGGCTCGTTCAAAGCATTGGGATGACCCATCGAATGAAGCGCTCATCTCAAAACATTCATGCAACTGGAAAGGCTAACCTTCTGCCGTACAAATACTTTGGTTCCCCTCCTTCCCACTGAAAATTGATCGCACATCTCTTCGTCAGGTTCTGATTCGCCGGCGTGTGCAATTGTTGTTTGCACGGAATGGCCAAACTTGCCTGGTTGTGCTGGTGCATTCCCTCCTCCATCGACTGCATGCTTTCCTTCATTGAGCTCATGTCGTGCCTGGCTTGCAATTGCAGATCCAACTGGATGGATGGCGATGACCAGAAGCCGAGGGAAAATTGTCATGTTGGTCTTCGCGGGTTGTTCCAAAAAGGTCACTCAGAGATCTGTGTATCTATTCCAATGTTCCGTACCCCACGCGATTCGCGCAGTTTCCATTAAAAACAACGCCCTCAGGTTTCACCAACATCGCCCAATCTCCGCTTGAACCCTGGTTTGTCTTCGAACACCACCTGGTCGTTAAACTGTATGTCGTGCAGGTCTACGTTGTTGGCACACATATGCTTCGATTCGGTATCAGCGTAAAGGGTCCGGAAAGCCAACAGCATGTCAACTCGAGGCAGTTCACACAAACAAGAGCTGCACGAGATGATTTTTCGACAATTCCTCCGTGCAGCATTGTGGGAGGGTTTTCAGTCGCCCCTTGCGACAATATCGCAGGAATGCCGTCCACGCGCAACATCCACAGCAACTGAGGGTTTGCTCAGTGTCCGGCAATGATACGCCGGGCCGCAGTGCCACGTGCGCAACTAAGGGAAAGCGGCGGTCCACGCTCACCTGCAGACGCATGATTGCTCAGTCCACTACAGCGTCGAGCTCGTCCTGGCGCCGCTTGAACAGCATCGACAGAAAAAGCTTGCAGAGCTTGTTCTTGCCTTTGAAAGTTTTGATCAGAGCTCCACCAGGTCGAAGATGGCGGCGTGCACGTCTTCGATCAAGACACGCACAGCCTCCCCAATTGTGTCCCCGCCCTGGGATTCGTGCAACGAGGCCACGGCAGCATCGCATCGCGCACATGTACGATAATTGTCCGACAAAAGAAGGAGAAGAAAAAAGGGAGTGTAGTTAGGCGGAATAGCTGACAACGGACAAAGATATGTGCATGCGCTCTAGGCACGCAAAACCAAACAGAAGACAATCCCGCACGTTCTCGTCTCACCTTGCCGACCACCTTGTCGGCCCGTTTAAGCGCCAACACCATCGACCGGCATTGCCGGAGTCTCGAAGTACTCGCTTCGTCGTTCTCGCGGCTGTCCGAAAATAGGTTCGCCATGATGCACACCACTCCCGCTGCCTCGCTGACGCCGGGGATCTGGTAGCTCCGCGCCAGCTCTTCCGCCATCGCCAAGACGGCTTGGCCGAGCCCGATGTCGCTGGCCGAGCCAGATGTCGTTGGCCGAGCCCTGCTCAGAGGAGGCCGCGCGTTGTCTTTGGCGAAACCGGGAAACTTCTTCCTGTTCGGCAGTCGACATGTTGGCAGTGGCGGCTGTCGCAATGGGAGTTTGAGCGGTCTTCTGCTCCGAGGCTCGCCGCCTCTTGAAGAATACCCAGAGAGCTAGTAGAGCCGCAGCAGCGACAGCGGAAACTACCCCCGCTACAATTGGCGAGAGTCAGAAGTCGACTTCTGTTCCTGGGGAGTGCTTACTGCCGGACTGACTGTTTGGGTGGTGCTAGAAGGAGATGGTGCTGGCGTGGTCGATGGAAGTGCTTCCGTAGGTGCAGGAACAGGCGCAAGCGTTGTCGCTCCTGCAAGATAGATCAGCGTGTATTGGCAGATATTTTGGAAGAAAAGCGAGACCAAATAGATTAGCGCACTTGATGGTTTCGACATGGGAATTGAGATCCCCCCACAACTGTCCTGTTTGGGAACGTATGTGGTGGACAAAATCAATCGTAGACTACGTCGGTTTGCAGACCAACGGTGGTAGCAAGTATCACCCAAGGGTTCCTTCCGGCAAACTGGCATAGGCACTCTCAGTGTAGTTGTTTCAACCCTCTCTCAACATAGGGCACTGCGATGCTTGTCTGCCTTAGTTGGGTTACGCTGCGTTCTTTGGCCATCAAAACGGGGCCATCCATCGCTCAGAACCCTGGGGAAGAAAATAATCTGAGCGAATGGCGTCATTGAGGATCCGGGGACCAAGGACTATGTCTGAGAAGCGCGGTGGTTTGCGTTGGTGCGCAGAAGCTGGTACACTAAAGGGTTTGAACGGCATCAGTTCGCCGAAACTGGAGCCCCTCGATGAACGGGGATCAACCTGCACGTTCATGTTTCACATTTTACCAGCCTTAGCCCTCTCACCACAGGTGTATCCGAATTCTCCGGGAGTGCACAGTTCTTTGCCGCACATATTGGTCACGTCTGCGGTAGAACAACCTGACAACGTTCACGATAGATCATCGCACGGAGTGACATCGCATTGAATTGCCTACCATTACGGAAGAATGACAGTGTTGCTTGGGAATAACGATACCAACACATCTCGCCAAATTGAAGCATGTCTAGGCCATCTCTCGCTCGATTGGACTTGATCCGTGCAGAGATAGGTGAAATATGTGCTTTAGCACGGTACAAAGTCGTCACAGAGTGCGACACAACCAACATGGTGAACTCAACTCGCACGGAATCAAATCGAATATATATTCATCAAAGAGTGATGGCCGGGATGACACGTATTTTGAGAAATAGTACAGCCGACCGCCGTTCAGAGCGACCACGTTGTGCACGCGGGAGAAAACGATGTATGCACACAATCTGGAGGGGCGCAGCCGACGGACATTTCCTTAGGGATCTCGGTGGCTCATTACCAAGGGCTGAGGCGAGATGTCGGTTGAGAAAATGTGCACAAATCACAATCCCGCGCAGACTGCTACAGGACCCCGTGAAGAAAGAGCGGCAAAATCGACCGGACGTCAGATAGCGGGGGCAGCGACATGATAACGGTGAGTCTCTACTGAGCTTCGAGTCCACCCGCACTCTTTTCCAAGCACCACTCACCACATTCTTCGCCGTACGTGTCAACGAGGACCCCGTCGTCGTACTGACTGGCATCGCCGTAAAGTTCCTCCCTTGTCAGGCACGTAGAGGAGGCAAACCGGATGCGGTGTACAGCACAAGTGAAAGACCACGTTTCATCGATGATGCAGTCAACAACGAACTGCTTGATCGAAGATACTCTCTCGGCAACGCGCAAGAGACAAAATCAGGCCGGGAAAAGTCTCCCAATTCTGCAGAGAGTGCAAGGCTCGATCGTCGACGTAGCAATGAAAGTTAATTGCTGCTGGCTTACGTGTTCTACAGTAGGCGAAATAAGGCATGTGTCCAGGCAAAACGGCATGCACGCACAACAATTGGGCTTGATGACGTTTCGGGACATTCTGACACGCAATGCTACTGGAAGTCACGTTCAGCGGCGACGAATTATATTTGGCGCGAGGTTTGCCTGCCCACACGTGCGTTGTTGGTCATCAGATAGATTCCCACACCCGTGATAATTTCCCACGTGTTGAAGTAGGTTCTTCGAAGGTGACTCAAAAAGCACAAATCGATTTTCTTCCAGGGTTCCTCACAATGTTGTCGGGATGAAGGGCAAGCACTCCAGAGCGCTGCCGTCCAGCTGCCTATGATTCACATCCCGGGAGTGTTTCGACGGCGCAACAACGGACAAGATCGGGGACGAGAAATGATGGACCAGACATTATGAAGGAAGAAAGTTAGCATGACTGCCGCCAGCGACATAAATACTTGTTCGTGGGGAGCGCCCGCTGAACACTGCAACAAGATTAGCCGCGGCATGGCACCAATGATGGAGGGTCGAATAGACAAAAAACAGATCCACCACGATTCTGATCTCCCCCCCCAAGGTACGACCAAAAGCGTGCTAGAAAGGGCCTTGGCAATCGTCGAAGGGATGAGATTTGCACATATCCGAGGGCCTTGACAATGTGCCCCGTTTAGCTTCGCACGAGAACTAAAGAGGCAGGCTATCGGGGAATGGCGTACTTTTATTCCACTTCCCTGGGACCACACATGGAGTGCTTTCAAACAAGTGCCAAAACCGACATCATGCCTTGACGCGCGTGAGCGGCCTACGGAGCCACCGGGGCAAAGGAAGATTTGGGATACAAGTAGTGCTAAGAAACTGAGAGAAGAAAGGCGCATAAGACCTCATATCATCGGAAACTAGTATTTACATCGCAAGCACTAACGAGGAGGATACAACCGGAGATTCATTTTCGTACCCGGACGAAGGATTCTGCCTTGGGCACTCGTCCGCGGAGGGCCACAGGCAAAGTCTTGTTTCGTCTGATCGTTCAAACAAAGCACCGGATGGAACATTGACCTCTTGCGACCTTCTCAACAAAGTCGGGCCATCTGGTATATGATTCTCGAGTGATTAGTGAAGCGCACCGGGTATGCTGGGGAAACCACACAGGAAGTGTATGTCATACGATTCGCTCTGGTGTACACCGGCAAGTGTCCTGGACGAGACTAGAATATGATCTTAAGACTTGGGGGCATTGAGCCATTCCCAATCAACGGAGCCTAATATCAATCATTCTCCAATCAACGGGCACCGAACTTCCTCAGTTTCTCTGACCACGTGTACTGCATACCATTTTCCAGCGGCCTTCTAGATCAAGGGGGGCAGACATGAAAGTACCACGTTGTGTGGTGTTCCTTGTATATTGCTGATCAGATATTTTTCTCCCGAAGTATCGACGACACCCGTGTGCCGGCAGGGGCACAGATCCAACCTCATGTTCTGTACGGCAAAACTGAGCCTGAGAGTTTGCCAACCCTATCGTGCAGCTACTTTCTAATATCGGAAGAGTGGCCAGATCTTGGGAGATACTGCCCCGACAGGGTGGAGATTCCATTCAGTCAGTTCTTGATTGGGGGGTGTCGAGGGCACGGCACGCGCGGAGCAGGGACGACTCAACAGCTAAGGAGTCACTTCTGGATTCCATGCACGCCCAACTACGAGGCATCATCTGGTGCAATACAATACCCACAAAACAATGCCCCTGGAACACGTTATTCACAGACTGGACGAGTCTCGCTGACACTTGGCAGAAACACTATTATTATTAGGTATTCTTGATAACTATGTTGACCTTCTTCCCGCGCTCAAGTGACCCTATCCATCGGTGTCTGAGGCGTTTCTGACTTTTTATATTTTCGCAGTAGATGGTGTTTTTGTTGCGCTTTGGTGGCGGCGCCGAAAATCCACGTGGCTCCAAACAACACTTGGAATCGATTTCAATTCGTGTTTTTTTTACCTAGTGGAGACGAGAGAAGCAAGCGAGGGAGACCCACAAAAATAATCAGAACCGTGGGAACAACAAAAACACAAAATGATCAGATTCGCCTTACAACTAACTGTGGCTTGGGGGTAATATGTGATACTTCAAGGAGGAGTAATTGAGCAATTTTCGAAACGATTACAAGGGAAAATAACCGTGAACGCTACATACGTAAAGGCAAATATTATTATCGCTGCAACATTTGGTCGGCGACATCTAGCCCATCTCGTCGCATGTGGAGGAATGTAGTTGCCGTTGCACTGGAAGTCTCCAGTTCTAGTCCCTCTTCCGCACCGCCTACTTTTCCTTTTTTGGTTTTCTACATGTTTTTTTTGTGCATGCTGTATTTTTTTTACTCCACGGAATTTTTCCATGGAATACCACGGAGATTCCATGGAGTTCCATGGTATTCCATGGAAACCACGGCAAGCCATGGAACTCCACAGAATATTCTATGGCAAATTCCACGGAATATTCCGTGGACTCCACCGCCACGGAACTCCATGGAGAGTCCATGGAGCCCCATAGAGTGGCATGGAGTTCCACGGACTTCCGTGGAACACCATGGACCTCCGTGGAATCCATGCAAGTCCATGGAAGTCCATGGAATTCCATGGTATTCAATGGAATATTCCGTGGACGTCCACGGAGGTCCATGAAACTCCACGGAATATTCCATGGCAGTCCATGACATTCCGTGGAAGTCTATGGAGGTCCATGGCATTCCATGAAATATTCCATGGAGTTCAATGGAATTGATAAATAATGTAGGGCACTCATATCTCGCTACGTAAATCGATGCTTGGCTATTGGCATTGTTAGGTGTACTAGGAACTAGAAACTTCGGTTGTATCCTTGGGGTTCGTAGTTGATTTGGGGGCACAGTATATCCAAGAGGGGTACGTGTGTGTGGGAGTACTGAACCCTCGTGTCCTGCATGAGGAGCTGACGCAGTGTGTTTGTGGGGTGTTCTGTGTTTCGTGTCATGCGAGTTCTCCGACTTGGTGTGTGGAGCGTGTGTGGGATATAATCAAAGACAATTGAAACTCCTCCGCCTCAGACTCTGGCCCCCCGTCACCGAACAGGCATTTCCAACCAAGGCAGGGTCGCCTGTGCTTCTCTCGACGAATACACCAACCCTTTCATCCGATTGTTGTTTCAAGGGTAATCCGAATCACAAGACAGCAACTGTCGAATGGGCCGAATGATGCTTTTGACTGACACATTGTCCCAGCGCAGGCCTCGAGATATTTCAGCAGGGCGCAATGGCCGCAGTGAACTTGAAAGTGGTATTCAACCGGGGTGGAAGGGGTATCAGAGCAGCACACTTGCAATGACAATTCGAACAACGTTCAACGCTGTATGTAGTGGTATGTATGCACGCGTGATGAAGTCTGGTTGACCCGTGTTGAAGAACTCACTTGTTATTACTCTTGCAGAACAGCTGCAGCAGTAGCTGTTGCCTTGGGTATCGGTAGGAATGACACCAAGGGGCACAGGATCCTCTGCACAAGCAGGGGCTACTAGATCCTGTCCCCTGCTTTTTATCCTTCCGCGGAGAGTTACATCATGTAGTGCATACCCTAAGGAACCAAGCTCTTCTATGTTCCGTCTACACATCTGAATCCTATAACACTAGCCCACCCTGGAGGTTCTCATACGCAGATACTGTAAAACCTCGAGGCTTGGCAAGAAATTGTCGAGTCCTTAAATGAACGTATCGAGGATGTGGAGCTCCAAAACAGCACAATTCACCCTCCCACACCTCTCACTCGATGAGTCGCAAGACCATCGTTTGACTTCTAAAACGACAAAAAGACACAGCAAGGAACTGACGGGGCTAAGAAAAGCCTTCGACGACCGGAAGAAGGTCGGAACCAAAGAAAGGAGAACACAAAGAAAGGAAGAAAAACAAAAAAGAAAAACAAAGGTCGTCAAAACGACAAAAAGAAAGGATCACTGTAGGAACCACAACAAGACCGGTATCGAAAGAAAACGATAAGATGCGCCATTCACGCAGTCGCCACGGCAGTGTAGAAGGGGCAACAATGGGCGCGAAACACCTACAGGTCGTGACCAAACGCTAAAGGCACAAAATAAAGCGAGGAGAAAGCGAAAACCAACCAAGGCTAAAAAGCAATCCAAGCAAAGTCGAAAGCAACTTAAACAACGCTGAAAATAATCCAACCATTGCTAAAACGAAGCCCAACAATGCGAAGAGCAACAGAAGGCACAAACAACCAAGCGTGTCGTCTTAATGGGGGCGCGCAACGTCATCAGGCAACGAGTCAGTGCCAACGTCGCCACGCGACATGTCGATGTTGCGAAGGATGCCCTTGAAAAGGGCACTGCTGCTGTGAACTTGGAGGCACCAGGATCCGGAGACGGCGGTTTCGACGGTGGAGTAGCGAACATCAGGAAGGGCGAGCTTGACAGGTCCAGGATCGTCTAAGAAGCGGACGACGTAGAAGTCGGACGGTAGGGGCGGTCCAGTAATCTTGCCCAACCACCGGAATCCATCGCGCGCTTTGTACCAGAAGAAGGCGCCTGCAGGTAGCGGAGTATTGGCGAAGCGACGGTCCCATGTAGAACGAGAGACGAGCGAATAGCCCGAGGGCAAGGCGCGCTCACCTTTAGCGCGTGCCACCTCGCGGTTGGCCGCACCAATACGCATCGCCCGATAGCGGCGATTCGTT